TAACTTTGTTACAAGAAACGAGTTACTTCCCAACCCTGCAATTAATATACACAATAGTGAGGCTTAAAAGAGAATTGAAATTGTAACGTTCGCTGGAGTTCTAAATTTATCGACGAGACATATTAGAAATTAATTAATTTAATAGTTTTATCAAATTTTATGTTTAATTTAAATAAATGTAACTACGCGGATATTTTAAAAAGACTCGTAAACTTCACTTTTTTCGCTTTAAATACACAGAGCACAATATTATCCCATATTCTTATGTAGGAACGAGTATCGTGCAATCAGTGCGTAGTACTTTAATAATGTATTTTAGAAATTCATGAAAGTCGTGAAAATCCTAATATGAAGATATTATGGTTACAATAATTCTTTCACACACGTTTAAGTTATAAATGATTAAAATTGGTAAATACTATTTTTACGAATACAGAAAATAATGAATACATTTTTCATTCAAAAGAAAAACTTTTTACATGTTACTGATTATGTATATGCCAGAGCGATATACCATTTATATTTAAAAAATTTAGTTGAAAAAATTCCTGGGTTGTTATATTAAAACTAATTTTGGTGGCGTATTGTCTAATAATATAATAAGTATGATAAACATATTTATGGTAGGTATGTCTATTAGTTTTAATATAATATATTAGGAATTATTTTAGTATGCGGTGAAATACTTATTGAATGTTGTGTTATATGACTCTATTTCATGTTATACATATAAAAGTAATTTATCTGCTATGGCTATAGATATCAAAGATTAGTAAATTCGGAGCGTTATAAAAATGAATACAATTAATAAAAAAAATTAATACAATAATCTTTAGCGAGATTTTATTAAATAAATTGCTATGGATATGCCAATGGCATTGTGAAATATTTCCACCTTTTTATATATACTCATGACGTATGCATTTCGATAAAATCTCTGAATATCATTTTACTGCATCAATTGATACAATATTTAGCTCTGCAAGGGTATAAGAAAGCCAAAGGATAAACCTAATCGAAAAAAATTTGTGAATAAAAACAAAAATAAAAACATACATCTAGATACTAATTTTTAATTTTTCTCTATCGTCTTTTATCGATTAGTTAATTGTTTTTACATGGATATATATACACAGAGAGAAGAGAGAGAATATAAACATTTTGTTCCAATTTTCATCAATCATAAAATACGAATATCACAATAAAACAGATTCAGACAAAAGCATTACATTCCAAAAATATATTTTATCTATCACAAATTTAGTTCACTTCTCTATTTCATTTCTATTATCAATTTATGTAATAAACTCGAAGGTTTCATCAATTACAATAATTTTAATATCATAAAAATTAAAGTATCGTCATTCTCAACCGCATATTTTGGAAACCTTGCTTATATTACTTAGCAAAAAGATATAAAACATTTATAATATTTTGACTAAATTTATTACCAACTTTTTATCAAAAGTACTCTGTCTTGATAAATGGAGATTTATATGTATATATTCCAGAGGTAAAAATTTATATTAGTCCATATTATCTACCTATTTATCATCTATTTCAAGACAATGAATTTATGACATTATCTTTATCTATATGTATTTTTACACTTTTATCTCATTCTTAATTTTGCAATATATAACAATAACCTAATCATAGAAATAAATAATAATGTTACATATTAAGAAATTTATAAAATTTATTAATATTCGAAAGGAGAGTTTGCTTATTGTCACCAGTAATGATTCAAAAAATTGAGACGGGAAACTTCTAGTCAATCCAACTGGCTAGTTACTTTATTAGTTTACTACACAACGTTTCGACCCTATTTGTTTTGGGTCCTTTTCAAGTAGTATTGCTCAATCAACAACAAACGTAATTATGAAATAATGTAAGTTAATAAGTAAAGTTATTATATTCATATTAGGATTTTCAATTTAATTTAATTCCTAGACCATAGTATTATATTTTGAGAAACGCTTTCCGCGTATGGTCAATAAAAGCTTTTTGTCTTCCAATTAAGAAGAATATGTCGTTAAGCATTGTTCAGGTGCATAATTGATTACGCTATTTTATGTGTATGTTACGATACGTATGCATACGTTTACATATACGTTCACTACGAAATGTAAGTTCTAATGTATTTCATCAATCTTTACGTTTTCCCGAAACGTTAAGTGCAACCTTTCCTTGAATGCTTGTCGCGACCGAGTAGATGGATCAAGCGATCTCTGTCTCTTTTTATCGTGCATTTTAATGAACAGCTGTGGATCAGTCCTCTTGCCACAATATTATTTCCCGTTTCAACGAAGCAACAAGTTCTTTCTTGTGGATATCGATTAAATATGTTTTCCCCTTCTCGGTTTACACAACGGGGATTTAAAGATTTTAATTTTGCATCAATTTTAGATTTAATTATACACGATAAAAACCAACTGTTCTTCATTTAATTACATTTTGTGAATGTCACCCTCGTGTACCATCAAAGTTTAATAAATGGCATCTTTACTAAACCAATCCTATGCATATACATAATTCAAAACGTAATACATGTATTAGCGAACGCGTCGCATTATCCTCGATCCGAGATTAATGGAACGAAACAAGTTTAAATTCAACGAATAAAGATTCTTCTAATAAACACCCCTTCGAACGTTTATAGGTAGCGATATCACTTCTCGCGGAAGAAACGAGAGCTACAGCTCCACCATGCCCCATTGCACGTGCGTAATTAAATGCAATCTCGCAGCAGACGCCCTTTTATTTTTGCCCGTGCCACTTGTGTCGCTAATCGAAGTAGGGCGCCACATCGATTTTGGCCGTATCCGGAGCGCGGTGCCAAATATCACGTAAAAGGGCACAGCCGGGTTCTCCATTTCTCGAGACGCCGATCTAAAATAGGACCAGACAGAAACGCGGACGGAGGCGGAGGCTCGCAAATAAGTAATGAGCATCGCGCGCCTCAAGGATAAAGATGGGATTAGTAAGACGCCTAGGAACGGGGATAACTATCAGAATGCGCCGCGGTCCGCTTTAAATCCCGCGTTCTCTCCGATCTATCTCCCCCTCTTTTCGCTCCTTTTCTCTACATTTATCTTACTCCTGCTATAACTCTTTCCTCTCTGCCCTTCCTGCTCCCCGCTCGCAACAGCTACGGGATTTTTAACCGAGAATTTTAACGATCGACCTACATTTCCGCGCCCCATTTACGGTATATCCTACGGTAATGTCAAACACCGCGATAAATATGCTAGCGGAACCAGCGATCACCGATGTAAGGACAAACAGCCATGCAACGGCACGGTTAGACGATTATCGGGATACCCGCATCGGAATAGTTTGCGGGAAGTCGTCCGCACAAATCGCCCGATAACGATCGATCTTTTCCGCGGATTTCACAGGCTATTTCTTCCGCTCGCTTTTATATTTAGAAACCGCTGAACCCATCTCGCTGTCACGTAAAATGCATGCAAGTGCGACACAAATACACATACCTACTCGTGCGCATTCTTATGCGAGACTCTTATCGCACACACGTACAATTTCACTGCATCGTGTAAAAGTTATTTCTGATAACAATTCTGATAATAATAAGATCGTATAAAAAGTATATCCATGGAGCAAACCGAGAAGAGATAACGCTGGTAGGAAAATTGGCGCACTCCTCAGTTTATCGATTCGCCACTAGATGTAGAGTCGTTTTTGTATATTACTCAAAAATTATTGCAAAACGGCATGGGACTTTTCTACTCAGTTTCTTCAGGTGTCATGTCCTCCTAGAACGTTGGCGATCAATTGTACGACTTGAATTTTACCCACAGCCTTTCTGAATAGCGATCTTGTGCTCTGCCCATACCACTGACGAAGGTTCTTAAGCCAAGAGGTTCTTCGACGAGCTGGACCACGCTTGCCCACTATTTTGCCTTGCACTATCAGGTGCAAAACCCGGTATTTGCTATTTCTCATGTGTCCGAAAAACTTAAGCTTGCGTCTTCTCTACTCAGTTTGCCCTGCTTTATATTTCCCGCTACCCTCGGCGGGAAATTCGGCACACCCTGTATATATATATGCACATACATGTACATATAATAAATTGCGAGTTCTAATATAAAGTAATTCATGTGCCTTACAATAATCATCGTGCAGTGGAAAAATTCCGGTAATGCTTGTCAGAATTAATTAACGAATCATTCGGTGCATAAAATATCTCGCAACCACACTGTGTAATATTTCAAACGTATACAGAAAATGAAGATTAATTAAAGTCGAAATTACGATACAAAAGCATTATATCACAGCAGCTCCTAAAATTACTTACGGCCTCGACACTTTTGTCTCGGATTTTCGATTCTAATTAACTCTCAGAATATATTGTCAAGATATTACGTAACGATTACGAGATACGCAATGTAGCTTTTCTCTGTCAATCTATTCGTGTCCCTAAGAAATTCTTAAGGAATCACTTTGTACGATTCAAGCTGCAATTAATCATCGGACATTTCCCATTTTCTTATTAATTGGATTCGTTCGTGCGTACTATTGAAAAATCGTTATCGATACGTAATGTAAACGCGAATCAAGTCGCGCCTGATTAACGTTCACGCTTAGGTAATTACAAACGCGACGTAGCTACCAATCGATTTAGTAATAACCGCTTGACGCAACAATGCAATCTCAAGTTGCTGCAGTTTCCGAGGTTGCGCGAAAAAAAATATTTCAAGCGGAACTTACTCGTTGATAAATTCAAAGGTCAAGAATGGATTTAAAACGTATTCCCATTTCTCTCTCCAAAGGTTTCGGCAAGTTTCTTAATGCCGGAAGGACGTAAAGTGATTGCGCGTGAATAGATATAAAACTGAGAACTAAAGTCTTCTTTTTTTTTGAAATGGTACTTAATAATTTAAGTTACAAAAGGACCAGCTTTTAAAACAACAGCAGCAGGTCGCTTATCCATATCAGCCGCGTTAGTCGTCTCTGATTTCAAGTCGCAGCGTACTCACCCTCATGTGCGGCTGGACCAGCAGTTCGTGGAGCTCTCGGAGATCGGCCCTGTCGATATTTCGCACCGCCAAGTGCTCCGTTTCCCGCAGGATCTCTTCAACCTCGCGCGCACGTTGGACCGCATCCGTCTGCGGTGCTCGATACGGCGCTGGTATGCGGCCTGAGATTCTATCATAAAGCTAAAAATCAAATATGCCAACGTCAATACGAGTCTCCAGATTCCCCTTGTCAAATTGTGAACATATTGTCTCATACTTTCTCTAAAATGTGACCGATTAAAAACTCTACGCGGCCGAAATACTCCATTCTACTTAAATTAACACGCCGAGAGGTATAGCGTTATAATAACTAAAATGAAAAAGCCTTAGGGTTGTCTAACGCACAATAAGTATTCAAACTTTTCTATGATATACATACATTATTTACCTCGCTCTATAGATTATGTTAAGAAATATTCTTATAGAAACGCAACGAATTATCGCTTCAAATCAATAAATATCACATAAATACATTGCAACGAAAAATTGAGTCGATCGAAACGATTGGGAATGAAGCCATTTTATAATAATATAATATATAATTCTTATAAGAACGCAACGAATAATCACTTGAAATTATAAATATCAAACGAAAAATTGAGTCGATCGGAACGGCTGGGGATGAAGACGATTATAATGTTATTAGACGATACGCGGAGGTTGAAAGTAGTTCACGAGCGATCCATGAGATGTCCCGATCATAACAGCGGACGCGCTTGAACTCGCGAGAGCCGGGCGCAACTTTGTTCACATAAAGTTGAAACTCGCCGAGCTCCGATCGCCGAACAGTTCCCCACGTGATCGGAAGCTGGTTCACTCACCAGGAGACCCGCGATTTCGAGCAGGTCGCCGGCCAGCTCGGCGTCGCCGATGAACATCAACTGGCAGAGGTGCATCCTCGCTGCGTTAAACAGCGCGCGTAAGCCTCACCGGAGCAGAGCTACGTGCGGCATGGTCCCCGACACGTGGGCTCGCGCGTGGCCACGTGGAGACACTTCAGGAACCACCGGAGAACGGGTTTACTATATTGGCGCGCGTGCCGCCGCGACAGTGCGATCCTACGATCGTGCGTGGCATGGTTGTTTATCAGGATTCCACCAGGCGGCCATCTTGCCAGCCCGGAGGCAGCGCTTGCGTGCTTTTCCTCCGAGGGAACCGAGGGTGGGCAGCCCGTTCCCGCGGGATATCCCGCAGGGGGTTGCGTTATCCCTCACGGTCGAAGGAGGGGTGGGGGGGAGGCAGAGAGGGCGGACCGAGGGTGGCTCCGCTCTCGGTGGAAAAGCTCAAGCTCTGTAGCGACCGCGATAGCTCGACCGCGCGAAAAGGGATGCCTTCCAAGATGGCTGCCGGTCCCGGGCGGGTTGAAAGATAACTTGAACGTTGCGCAAGCGTCGCGAGAAAAGGGGTCGACGGTCGTTACCCGCGCTTGATAAGAAATTGCTCATTCTGTTTTATCCTATGAAGGCGACCTGTCCCCGTTACTTGCAATCGATTGTAGAAAATTTTACTACCGATAGAAATGAAAAACGGAATTTAAAATGCGAAAGAACTCGATTATATGTAATTACGCTTATTTGTGAACTAGTCGTATGAAGAAAAGAATCCACACGATTCTCCTCACTCAAAGGAACGTCGAATTAATCGAATAAATAATATTAATACAATTATGAAAGTCGCAGCGAGATGTTGTAAACTTTTTGGAGATCTTTTTACTCAAGTCACATTATTTGTATTCTTATTGTTAGTTGTAAAAAAAGAGATAACTCGTTGAATATTTCATAATAAAGATTAAAAATTTGTACAATAAAGACGATTATGTGTTAAACGTTATTGTGTGTTTAAAATAAAAGTAGATCCATTATATATAGTAAACTTTTGTCGAACTTGCATTGAATTGAGAACAAAAACTTTGCGTTCTCCTCGAAGATCTTAAACGGACTACTTATCTCAATTTTCAGTTTAATATTACGGAATCGTAAAGAAAATTGTTAAAAATTTTTCAAGGTAATTCATGATATTTACATAAATAAATTTCTTTATCCGCCCAACCAGCATTGCATCAAGAATCTAGCTTCTTACCAAATAAGACCCGATCGTAATCGCAGAAATTCGTACGACAGAACAATAAAATATAATAATAATTGAGATGAAGCGATTGTCGCGCAGTCAAAAGATAATCGCACTGTCCAATTAAAGTCAACGTAAAAAATGTTAAGTCGTTAAGGCCCGGTTTTTCATTTTCTGATTAAAAGTTAACCAGAGGTTAGTCGATTCTCTGTCCCTTCTTACAATGAGATAATAAAATAGAAGGATGGAGAGTCGGCTAAACTCTGGTTAACAGTTGACCAGAAAATGAAAAATCGGACCTAAGGGACATATTGCCCAGTGAACACCAAGTAACTGTTACATAAGTATTATCAATATTATAATTTCCTGCTCAACAATATAAATATAACATACCTATTATATTACATTTACATTGTAAAGTAGTAAATTGTAATATTATTGTTATGTAACTTGGTGTTTACTGGGTAGCAACATTCTCACAGTGAATACGCGATAACCCGCAGATTTGCAATTAAATTAACATTACTGTTTGAGAAGCGAAAAGTTTGAATACTGAAATTTAGATTTTTCCAACACTGCAATTCTTTGTCTTGTTCCTTGCACTCACTTAACCAGTTCAGTACGTTCTTGTTATTTTTCATGCAGATACGAATTATCTTAAGAAATACCTCTAAAATGGCACGAAGCCGATGGTCGTCGACGGTGTTGAGAACTTCCGCCCGCAATAGTCTATCACTTTCCTCGAGGATCTCAATGTCATCCAAGCAATCGACAATTTCGGCCACGGCGCCTATAACACGAGAACGTGTGAAACATTGATTTCACGAAGCGCGGTTAATCCGCCTGATAACTCACATTCCAATTGCAATCTTTTACACAGCGATAAACAATGTTGATAAGAGTGTAACGCTCTCGGTTAAGCCGGATATGGATCAAGCGAGCAAGCGCGAACGTACGTAAACAATTATCGCTGGCAGAGCCGTTTGCGCTCATTAAAGCAAATTATTCATTCGTGCTTATTCGCGCTCATTTGCTTGGTCTGTATCCATTAACGCAATGTTCACGGAAATAACGGAATTTCCAAATTACGCGATAACATCGATCTCTCGCTGTTGAAATAGCAAAGCTCGGAGCACGTTAACGAAACACCGGCCCGTATCACGTTATCATTGAGATCTTTGGTGGTTAATGAAACTGTCGCGAATAATCAGAGGCGCGCGAAGGGCTCCTGAGTGTTTCGTGAAGAAGCGACGTTAATAAAATCTCAATTAGAGAACATCTATGTCGTTCGCACAACGTTTTCTTCTTCAATTCTTAACATTGTCCCGGTAAAAAATTTTTCACGCACGAGTATGCATAAATCTATAGCATTATATAAAATTACACATCAGATATGTCCATACATATTTTTACATTGTATATTTCTATGTAATTCTATACAATTTTACACAGTTCTTTGTAATTTTATAAATTTATACGAAACTTTTATATGAAAAAATTGTTAAGAGAAAAATGGCTTATTTATAATTATATATAAACTTGTACAATTGTACACAATTGTATATAATTATAAATAAGCAGTTTTTTACATTAAAAATTGTTCATATCAAAGCATGTATAAATCTATAAAAATATACAGTACTGTGTAGAATTGTATAAAATTATATAGAAATGTACAATGTAAAAGTACTTATGGACCTATTTTATATATTTTTTATATAATTCTATACATTTACTCAGGAGAAATTTTTTACCGGGGTACATCTCTGAGGCCCGGTTTTCCCAAACTTTTAACGGACGATTTCAACACACTAGGCTAAATCCTGAGCTAATTAAATTCGAAGTTCGACGTTAAATTCTGAGTTTGTAGCCGCGTTAAATTTGTGACTTCAGCATAATCCTGACGAGGACGTACTTTAACCTCCCATGTTTAAAATAATAGACAGAATATCATCGGATTACATTAGATTACATGCAATTTCAATGTAAATTAGTAAGACTTATTTATTTACATTAAAATTGCATGTAATCTAATGTAATCCAATCACATTCTATCTAATATTTTTAACGGGGCTAGTTTCTTGTCCTAAGGGAACAGTTGGAAAGAGACAAAGGATGAGTTAAACTAAGGTTTAAGTTAGGCGACGTTGGAAGAACCAGGCCTGAGAGTTAGATAATTGAATCGCGACAGAAAATGCTGCCAAACCAAATCTACATCCGTCTTCCTCATGGACCAAACGTGCGTCAGGGGAGAAAGCACCTTTATCCGCGTTGCGTCTTGTAGCGTTTGTACGCGTCAGAGATAAAATTCCGAGATCGATGTACCTGTAGTTATCTCGTCATCGCCGACGTCAGAGAAATTGTCGCCATTAGCCTCTGAATACGGAGCGTGCCACTTTGACGAGGAGACCGCTGCCTTGACGGCTTCCTTCAGTTTTCGCCTCGCGTTAAATTTCTTAAGCTCTTCTATAGTGTCACCTAAGTGTGTACGGGCCGCACCCTTATCACGATCCTGCAAGTTAAGATCCGTTCATTCGCGATAAAACAAGTGCTGCGGAGTAAAAGAATGACCATGCTGACTCATCTACAACGAGAGAGACATAGGGAAATGAACCAACGCAACTAATTAAGCGCGCGGGTCGACTGCTTGTAAAACAAATAAAAATTCGTTAACAAAAGTCTAGAGATGCGTGTAAACAGCCACGACGTAAACATTGCGGAGAGGAAAGGCTTGGGCTAGCGGCGGCAATTATTTTCCCTACCCTGCAATCGGGGCGTATTACACCGCCATGCAAAGAAGCGAGAGAAAGAGAGAGAGAGAGAGAGATTGTACTTGCTTCCACGAAGTCTACGGGGGGTTCGACGAACGTACGGCCGCATAAAAAAGCTCTAAGCAGCACACAGCCGAGCAGAGCGCGCGCCGAGAGAGGTGTACTTTACTATAGTTATTTTCATTAACCGCCGCGGAGGCTTCGCTCCCGCTATAGCGATCGATAGCCCAGTTGCACGTGTGTTGCATCGGAGAGGTATGGGGGTGACTCCGCGAGAGCGTGCCCACCTTAGGTCACTGGCTAACTGTTGCACCACATAGGTATACCCTCGCACCATGCGGCGCGCGCGTGCGCACGCACATTCATCGGAGATAATAAGGAGGAACGAGGCCACGTGTATTATATATATATAAAATATATAATATATATTAAATATATATATGTATGCACGGCGTAATTATGAAAAAATAAAACCCGATGTACTATCACCGGCGATGAAACGGAAGCCGCTACATCGATTATCCCCATGAGGAGTCGTGCGCGGCGTGACGTAGAATGCTGATCGTCACCGAACGCCCACCGATTATAACACCCCCCCCCCTCCGTCCGCGTGCTCCGCAGATAAGAGTCGGCCGAATCTCGGACCTCACTTACTCTGAGCCACTTGTGATTGAGGACCTCCTGGATGGTGATCCTGTGATTCACGTCGGTCGTGAGCATTCTCTGTATGAGGTCCTTCGCCGGCTCGCTAATGGGATCCCAGAGCACCGTCTCCATCTGCAAATTCAATTAAATCGGAATTATTCGTCGCGCACGGGGAGAGGAGAGTCGAGCGTGGACCCCGAAGAGGGGCGCGCGCGGTTATTAAAATTCCCCGACCGCTTCGGCACCCCCGCCCTCGGATTTAGGGGCGGCGGGAATCGTAAGACGTGGCCTATTACCTGCACCCGCCCTCGACAGATCGCTTCCCGCAGCCTGTCTCGGGAACCGACGAACGGAAGCGTACCAGTTAGCAGGACATGTAGCAGCACTCCGGCCGACCAGACGTCACCGGGCTTCCCATATTGTCGCCGTTGAATCACTTCCGGCGCCATGAAGTGCGGACATCCGACACGACCTGCGCCGACCAAGAGCGTCGTGAGCGAAAGGGGATGAAACGGTGCTGATGCGAGGGCCGCGGAAGCGAGACGCGAGTGATTGCTCGGAAACTTCGCAGTCGATCGTTACGTAAAACGGAAACGCGTTTGCGACAAGTAGACGCGAATTTGTCAGCCGAATCGGCTGCGTTTGATTTTACCTCGATATATATGTATATATGTATAAAACAAGTAATCGGTTCTCCCTCGCGCGCGCGCGCGCACACACACATACGTTCACACACGCATTCTCTCTCATTCTCCCTTTGTCAAATCGACCGCCCGTGACGAGAGAATCCAAACGATGCTTTTGTTTATCGTTATTATCGGAAACGTCGGATCGACTGGACGTATCGATAATTAATGGCAAGGAACGAACGTCAAATGCAAAGGCTACTACATTCCTCGAAAAACAAACCTCGTAAAATGGCCGATTCGCCGATATAGGCGCAAACGTCGTTCACGGACGATACCAACGTGCTAACTTACTTTCAACAATCTATATTTATTAAGAATCGGTAAATGTGTATGACACAGAAAGCGGCACGAGAGGAAATGTAGGTCACTGCACATTGAAAAGTGTACATGGGAAAAGACGAGATGATTAAGGCTGTAAAGCAAAGACGACATAATTGCGTTCGCGAGTATATCGTTAAACATTGGAGAAATTAAAAGATCGTGTAATTGTACATATGCGGGAAACGTAACGTGGCGTATAATTATCGTATCAGTGAGATTAATTGCACAAAACAGCGTGGATTTCTCGAAAAAGTATCCAAAGCGTATATAATCTGCACATATGTCAGATTTCGTTAACATTTTATTTCGTCACACAAATATTTTACTACGTAACACATGTACAATACTGTGTACTTCTGTAGATATGCTGTTGTATCTGCAGAATAGACTCTTAGACTAGCTGTAGACTCTAGAGTAGACTAGCTGTATTTCATCTAGATGCTTTATTTATGTAATAAAAAAGATATAGCGGTAACAAACAATTTTTAATTAATTCACCTTTCTACGCGTCTCATTAAATAATTTCAAATATATTTAATATGAAATCTATAAAAAATGGTGTAGTTCTGATATGCTAGTATATCTGTAAAATAGATTCTTAACCTAGTTGTAGACTCTAGAGCTGACTAGCTGTATTTCATCCAGATGCTTTCTTTATGTAATAAAAAAGAAATAGATTGTGTCAATATTGTATAAATATACGTACTAACGTCTACGTCTGTTTATAGAACCTACTATTACTTAAGGGAATGCTGGAGTGATTCTGCACGTTTTGCACCTTTTGCTTCTAGAACTGTCAATTCACGAAAACATTTGTGTAATATATGAATTATATCTTAGCTTTTGTGTATATTACACAAATGTTTTCATGAATTGACAGTTCTAGATGCAAAAAGTGCAAAAGGTGCAGAATCACTTCAGCATCCCCTTAAGTAAAAGTATATTCTTTTATCACGTTTTTACTCGTGGTTTGTACAATATTAAACGTGTTAAGTAAAATGTTCGTATTACGTTCTCCATCATTTTACGCTAGCATAATAATTACATTCCTCCGATAATGATAGAACATAATATTTCTATAATACTATTACAAATTTTGAATAATTAATGAAGAGCTTAAACTGATAACAAACAGTAATTTTTAATTAATTCACCTTTCTATGCGTCTCACTAAATAATTTAAAATAAGCATATTTAATATGAAATCTGTAAAAAAAAGTGTTTAATCTTACGTAATAGAGTACTTGAACAAGAAAGTAAGTGGTGCCGGTGCAGAGGGAAACTGATTAGTTATATTTATGCAGTCACTTGTGTATAGTGAACGCAATGAGTTAAAACTAAATTTAATATTTCAGAAATAGAAACGCAAACAGATATGTAAACGTTTCATAGTGCCGTAATCGAGTGCCAAAGTACACATACATACATACATTTGGAAACAAATTTTCATGCGACTTCACATCAAGAGCATGCAGAATTCATCTGGTTTCAAAACGTAAATCTAATGATGAGAGACGTGAGCGGTAAAATTAAAAAGAAACTATCATGTTGTTAAAAAAATGTAACTGTCGATAAAGACGATTTTGAATTCGTATCGTTCATCGCTGCGTTCAGCTTGGCTGCCGCTTGTCGCTGCATGATTTTAATCATTCGCTTTTTGACGAAAGTAATTAGTTACGCGAACGATGCGACAAGTTAATAACATGCATTTTACGCAAGTGTAATTTAGAGATACAGGATGATATACGGCCCGGGAAATTTCCGGCATAATTTCTGCCGGGAATATTTATTTCGCGAAAAACATGTTACGTATGAGCGTACGTGCAAAATAATGTGCAATAATGGACGTTATAAAAACGACTCTAGATTAATTGCCTTTAAAATCTGTCTCTAAAATGTTTCCTGAGAAAATTTCATGTACACTCTCGATGTTTTCCGTTTCCGTCCCCGAATTTTTTATGTATTGGGCCAGTTATTTCTGACCGTTTCTCTCGGTCAGTCCATCTCGCATTTTGTCACGTTTAAGACTTAAAAATGTCAGATTATTATTTTATATCAAACATTTTTTTACCGGATAAAGCTCAAAATTAAGTCGGACTTATGACAAGTGCGCCGTGCAAAATGTCGTCGATCTGATATACTCACTCTGATTTTTTAGATTTGCCTTCAGTTAACAAAAAAGATCATACTTTTGCGCAACGTTATAGATCAAGTGTCACGTTTCATAGATACTTGATATATCGTAGGTATTATACGATAACATTGCACGCTCTAAATTATCAAATTTCATCATAAAAGAAAAAAATACTATTCGTAACGTACTGTCTAAATTTTTTGGAGTGAAATCTCACTCTTTTGGAGTGAAACTCGAAGAAACAATGAAAATACTGCCAGTACGACTGGAGTGTAATTTCACTTTTTGAAAGAGTGCCGTTATTCACTCTTTACTTGGAGTGATTCTTCAACTCGAAAAAGAATGCTTTACTTTAATCGATTATTGCTAGCAGTATAAAATTCATGGGCGGAAGCTTCGCTATTGTTTGTTTACTATAATCATCGCATATAGAGACTGTATTCTAATACTCATAGGCGGTACTGAAAATTTATACTTTATGTGACAGTTTCGCTTATTCTGCTGATTGTCGCGAAAGAACCGTCCCGGCCCGTGACGGGGTTCCTTATATACCGGGCTATCATGATCTTACGACTATGGTGACCATCTAGTGGCGGAATACCGTACTTTAAGCTGGAGTGAATTTTGCTAACGACTTCACTTTAAAAATAAAAATAAAATTCTTTATCTTTTGTCTTAATAAATTCACTCTATTGGAGAAAATATTCACTCGAATAGAGTAAAGTGGTCAGTGACACCATGATTCGAGTGACAATTTCACTTCAAAAATTTTAGAGAGTAAGTTTCTTCTCATTAAGATGTTTTTATAAAAAATTGCTTCTCATGTTGATGTAAAAAATGATTGCGTAAAATGTAGGTCAATGTGAGATCGCGCGTTATTTCATGGCCGTATGATTCGTTGTTAAGAAATATTATTTTTAGTAAATAAAGATGTTATAGCAAAAATCCCGAATGCGTTTTAATTGGAATTCGTACATCTGAAACTGGTATACAACGGATTCCGATTTTATTAACGATGTATTCGATCGAGAAGAACGCTACGTTTGCACTTCTATCGCGCGTGCTGCCTCTGCCGTCGTATAAATACAATATCTCGCAGGTACCCGCAACAAAATAGTATTCTCCGATGCGGCGACTAGCTTCAATTTGTCATCGATAAGTGATGAAAGACAAACACAAAGCGGTATACAAATAGACAGACACACGCAGACACACAGGCTAGTCTACCGCTACGAACAATGACGACATAAACAGGCCCAAATAACGCGGGCAATTAGTTCACCAGACTCCAGAAATAGGTAAACCGATTGAAGGGTTTGTTACGTTTAACTAAAATGTAATTATTGCAAGTGCAAGAGACAGAGAGAGAGAGAGAGAGAGAGAGAGAGAGAGAGAGAGAGAGAGAGAGAGAGAGAACAAGTCAAAAATAAGATAACAAAAAACACCACTCGGAAACGATAATCCGTCATCATTATCGACAGTACACGCTACATTGTAGCAATAATGCACATCAAATAAATTCACCGACTCGGTGATTGCATTTATTGATTGCAATAATAGTAAATGTAACGTGTCGTATAAATCCTAACTGAATAATCCATACAGAACCGTGTAAAGTTATTTTTACGTATCATATAAGCAGGACAAAGTTGATGACACGTCCACATTTTGTTGTCAATTAGTTTTCCCAATAGAGCATTATTTTCTCCCGTATTCTTTTTCGTATCCTCCAAGTTGGACAATCGCGTATCGATAGCAACGTGTATACATTTACGGTAAACTAATTAACCGTCATCCGAAGTGCATACTCATGATTGCATTATGGAAACATTGACGAGATTTGAGCAACTCAATCAGAAACTGATACGTGTTACAGGTGAACTCGGGGAGCCACAGAGTAAATTCGGCCACCATCCAAATTCAGTTATTGCGGATAACATGTCCGTATTTGATTTCTACAATGTTCAACATCCCCCTTTTTTTTTAAAAAAAAAGAGCTACGTTTACTCGAGAGATTCTCCTGCTGCGGATTGGATTGGCTGGGGATAACGATCCCCGACATCCAGTAAACACAGAAAAGATCAAAAGCGAACGTTTTCAGTTTCATTTAAAAAGACCGCGTTTTTATAGGAAAGTCCTCTATTATGAGATAGGTTTCTCATATGAGATAGCGGGTTTTCAACACCCAAATTCAATCACAAATCTTTCTTTCGCAACAATTACACAATCTGACAATGAATGTTCCACTAAACAGATTTCGCTCCAAGGGCAATAAATTCACGGTGGAATCAACTCATGATCCCTATTAATTTAACAGAAACCCCGCTGTCCCATATTAGTACCCTGTCTCATAATAGGGGACTTTCCTCTACGTCAACGAAACGAAATATAATTCAACGACGAGCTGTAACGAACCCTTCAATCCTGCCAAAAGACTCATCCCAAAGTCCTACAACGATGAAGCAGAGCTTGTCATTCGCGCGTCACAAAATCAGACACGCGGACGACAGGGGGGGGGGGGAACAGAAAAAAGAGGGGAAGGAGCCGTTTTCTCGCTCGCTTCCCCCCCGACGGCACAACAAATATCTGTTACTACGCGACCTCCACAGTGATATCACAGGAATACTGCTATCGCACGTAGGTCGAGTGTCTATGCAGACACCACGCGTTCTCAAACTAGCATAACTATACCACACGGGGGGGTAGAACGTCCACTATGCCCTCAAACGAGGGTAATCACGAAACTGGACTGATCGATCGCTCGATAATTACGAAATGCTACGCATTCATGTTGCGCGCCTCGCTCACGAAAATCAACTCGGAGCCATTTCCCGCTGAGATACACTACCGCCGTTCCGCCAGGCTCGCGGACTCGCCATGCGAGGTCTTTTCTCCCTCGTACACAGGATGCTCCGCGGGAAACAATGCAAATCGATGCGTCGGCAGATGGACAAGCCGGATAAAAACCGATTGCGTTCGGAAGAAATGGATTCGTGCGCACGACAGCCTTGATTTTTAACGACAAGCTCTCTCGTACACGCAATGGCTCCGTCATATCCTTTTCAATAATATATGATTGCAGCAAGTTACACGGAACATCCTGTATACATCTGGCCTTGTCACGGGCGGAAACAATTCTCAATAATCTTTTACGAACGGTGACGCTGTACAAGGAACCGAGAGAGACTACATTCAAGGACGCGGGAAGGAGCATCCCCTTCTGGGGAGATACTTTCTCGTTTCTACCCCCGATTGTGGTAAATCGTCAGACGTTATGTGGCAGGCATGTTGGATACCGATATTGTCCTCCGTGTCGCTCACTAGCGAATCCTCGGCGTCGGTCAGGTCCTCGAAAGGGAAATTGCAGCTCGAGGAGATCAGGCCTATCGAAAGAACACAGAGAGAAAGGAGAAGGATTGTTATCGTCACGATAATATCGCGCCGCGCGCGACTCGCTGACGGGGGTTCCACGGACGATAAGATGCTCTTTAGTCGACGCCGCTATCCGTGGAGGAAGACCGACCTGTGGCAGTCGCTTTTTATTTCAGGAATTGCACTCGCGCGGATCAAAGGCGCTAGATCGATCAGCCTGAGGAGTCGGCTTACTCATCAATCGACACGCTTCACTGGTGGTGTGTGTGTGCGTCTATTGGTATATAAAATGTCGAGCTTGGCATATCTCCGCGACGTCTGTACACCAAGAGAATGTTTTCTTTTAAAATTTATCCTGAAGATGATTGTAATCTCATATAATCTGATCATATTCTATCTAATATTTTAAACAGGGTTGCCCAGATAGCATACATGTCTAAAGGTTTATGTCTACGATGCTAGATGGTGGATCAAGTTCGTGGATGCAGGCCTTAAAAGACATCTTTAAGACGGTATTAAGTTGTCCTTTAGACATGTACGTCCAAAAGATGTCTTAAAGATATCCTTGTGACGTTTTTTTTAGATATAAATTGCCATCTGGGCAAGTGGATCAACGCGGCATTTCGAAGAATTTTATGAGAATTTTTTGAAATTTTACATACAATAGAAATGCAGAGCTAGCCAGATTGAATTTTAAATATGGATAAAATAAACAATTCAAATCTTGCCAATCTGGTCGACTGCGAGCTCTGCGTTTTTATTTAATTTTACCAATGGTGATTATAGGAACATTCAAGCTCGTTTTACCATACATGTCACTAGAAATTATATTTAGTATACATTTTACTAGCAAAATGTGTGATAAAATTTCGAAAAACTCTCATAAAGTTCTGAAAAATGCCGCATTGTCCCACGATCATATAATTTTCAGAATCAATTTTGAAGAAAATTCTCTCCGTGTATAAGTTTCCTTGTACTGTACAGTAAATGGAGTAATCTGCGTATGATTCTGTTGGTATAAAGTCTGTATTAAGACCGTCGGATTAGCTTGCTTTAATTCGTTCGCTTTGTAATTTCATGTAAAACATAACGACGAATCTTTTCTTCAACCGAGTTCTCGATTGATCGCACGTACTTTCGCCGGAACGGGATTCCGCGGTGATCATCCTAGCGTGGAAAAGCACGCGGATAATTTCTGAACAGCAATCGCGACAAATGTATCACTTATAGATGAGCAATTGTCATATTGAATTTGATCTTGGTAAAATCGCAATTTTTCTTTTCACTCACGTCATTAATTTCGCTTCAGATATACGTATTGCTGAAGAGTCGCTTAAGACGGTAATACTAAACTAATACATGGTGTTATGTACAATTCGAGGCCGACATTCTTCAACAACTTTGTGAATCAGATACATCCGGGGGGAAAAAAAATAAATGTGCACGTACATAGAAATATATTAAACAATACGTTATTTAATATGTTAAATATTAGCCAAGTCCAGAGAGTGTGAATATTCGAACTCGTAAAGCAAGCAAGCAAGCGGTGGCAGCTTCTAGAGTACAGTGACGTGATATAGTGACAGTGATAGAGGAGTACACGGAATGAGTGAAGATGTGGCATAATACAATATGTGTGGATAAGTGTGTCCGTGTAATATATATATATGTGTGTGTGTGGCGTGATGAGACAAGGCTCCTGCGAAAGTAATGATTAAAGGTTAGATCAGGCTTACCCTCGCTGTCGGCCTTCAAGTAGAGCTGCCCCTTTGGGCTCAGACACTGCCGATACTCGGTCGTGTAACATGCTGTATTCATCCAAACCAAATTTCACGTTATCAGAATGTCAACCAGGCGACGCGCCTTCCTCGCTGCCTAACCCGCGAGAAAATGTGGCGGCTCTCTAATTGGGTGCGCCCGTTTATTCTTCCCCACCCTCCGCGGTGTGTCGGGGATGAAACATTAGCTTCGCGCGGAGAAACTAAGCATGATGGAGCGTCGGGGGAGACGTCGCGCGGCACCGTTATGCGTATTTAATCACGCTGTCGGAGAACTTTTTGTTTAAGGCGACCGCGCGATATCCCAGCGGCGCGGGCGCTGTCTCGTTTGCGAAACTCGCGCATGTAAAAAAAAAAAAGTTGCGCGCCCCAGTTTACACGACGGTTTTCCAGTCAATCTCCGGCCCCGGTGTATTTGGAGCGCCGTCTCTCTACCCTCAGAATGCCAAATTAGTTTCGAACCGGGAAGAGCAGAGGCGACAGCCGTGGGACTCCGGAGAGATTAATATCTGACTCGGTGTAATATCGTAACGTCTTAGCAGAACGAGGAGGCAATTAACCCTGCATAGCCGGCACGAATTCTTATCGCTGTTCAATTCTGTTATCGATCGACGAGAACCCCTTTCTTTAGCCTGCGCCTCGTCGTAATAAAAGTGTATACAGTGTCAAGTGTCACGCAGGATTAGCGACAAACATTGTTACGTATTGCTTTCATGGCAATATTTCGGTGTGGTTCTCTTAACATAAGCGAGACTGATAATGCTATCACTCGATCGTTATTTGTTCATTCATTGTGTTGTTCTATGTCTTTTTTTAAGTAACTGCATGCTATTATTAAACATCTCTATCTTCGATTAAATATTAACTTGGATGAAATATTAAGTGTAAAGCACGTAGAACGAAAGTAAGAGATCAACGTGTGTTCTATCAACAGCTCTTAACGGCGATGTAACGCGATGCTATCGCCATTATCGATAATGTAATTCCAGTATCGATTGTCAATATTAACATAATGTAATTATGCGGGCTGGCGGAAGATGATTTCCCCCATAATTGAAGACGCTTCTTTAATATCGCATGGCCACAGACGCAATAAATCGCTTGCGCCGGCAACAATAATTGCGCTCATCACGCGAGGGAAATCTAAAATTAGTCCAAGACGTAGCAGTACAGCCTACGTGTCTACAAGTGTCGCTAACAACAAGAGCATCTACAAATGGAACCATGCGATATCGAAGCAGCGAAAGATTGTTAAAAAAAGAACAGAGAAAAAAAAGAGGAATGCATAGACACCAATCGATTGCGGCTGATCAGAGAAGAGAGCATCACGGTTGTCAGTAGAGAAGAAATCCGATAAAAGCTGTTGCATTGTGCACATCGAACACCGAGAAATTTTTTGAATGTGATTTGCCAATCATCGACCAAGCCAGCCAATAATCGCAGAATAGGGCATTCAAAAGAGAGACGATACAAAAACACCGAGTGTCTTTGAAGTGACGCTTGATGAGAGCCAGGAACATATTGTATCGGTACGAGAAAAAAATAAAAGGAAAACGAATAGAAAAAAAGATAAAAATTTGAATTACAAACTCTCTGAGGAGGCGATATTCAATGCGCTTTTGGTAGACTTTTGCTGTCATTCGTTAATATTGCTATCGCGCTGCTGCATCGTTAGGAAGATACAGTTGCGTTTTTATCGGTAACGACGTCGTAATGTGCGGAAAAGATTTTTCCCGCGAGATAAACGGCATAATTTATACCACGAGAGCTTAATCAATCCAAAGACACGCCGGCACACACATCCTCAGCAATAATTTCGTGTCTCGGAGGACGCGCGCTCAGTTGCCTCTTGTCGCTGAATATTTTAGCACTCTTTTCCTTTATAGTGTCGCACGCGAAAAGGAGGCCGCACAGCTCAACGACGATTCGTTTCAACTAGTCATAATGAAGCCGGCTGAATGTCAACAGGTCGGCGATTTAAAATTAGCCTTCTCAGACAAATTTTATGCTCCTCTCTCAACGATAAACATATAAACGCTCAATTAACAAACTCGTAAATTACTTTAAAAGATACCACGTTTCTCGTAATGAAATAAAATCGACAATGTGCTGCGCCGATAAACTTTTTGAACACGACGCCACCTAATATTGGATTTTCAGACTAACGTTGTTTCCGTAGTCCTTGATCTGTTATAGTCCATTAATCTTCAAAAAAAAAAATTACTGCGAGAGATCGCTGCATTGTCACGTGAGAAATAGGTTAAATGCACATAAACGACATGTCGTGAAAAGTAACTCAATCACTTGATACGCCGCGCATAATGCAACCGCTTAATTTTAGTACAAAAATATTATTCAAAATTATATGTGTATTTTAAACACGACAGCCTGTTCAAATTACAAGAAATCAATACTCTATAGGAATATGAAAATTTATATCACCAACTAAAGAAATGGCCTGCCTGATAAAAGTTTAATGAATCATCAAATACGCAACGACATAATTCGTTAAACTGCTTAATAGTAAATGATCCTAAATACGTTTCCATATTACGGTATGACGATTAATTTGGTACGCAAAATTCAGTTTATACATACACGCACGAGCTTATCTTAATTAATGCTTTAAAAGAGTTTAAATAATTAGCGGAAAATTAATGCGTAATCTAGTGACGTAGTTTGCTTCGTGTTTACCGGTAAAATAGCTTTGATATACATAGATGTATAAAGCATTGAATATGCCCTCTCAGCTAGCTTGCAGATAGAATAAGCGAATAATTACGCGCGTGAATATATTTCATTAGCGCACATTTTGCTAAATATAAAAATATGTCGGCGCCAGGCCAGGGCCGTATCGGCGAAACTTTGGAAAAAAACGTTTCCTCAAGAGCCCACGTGTTCTCGTAAGATATCGCAACTCGTTTGTGAACGACAGCAGGACAAAAGTAATCACGTTGCTCTCTACGGAAACTATTGTGTATTAATCATGGGACAATAATATTATCAACACTTGGAGGTAAGTTATATATTTCCCTATTGCGTCGTCTATATTAATGTAGCTTGTCCTATTTTCGCCTCTCGCCTAACGCCGACACCACTTAAAAATATTATGAAAAATTTAGTAATCCTAATGCTGTCGCGCTAAAAGCGGCACGACGTCAGCTCTCGTGAACTATGCCACCGGGAATAAAAGGGAACGCAAAGTGGTTGGAGCATTTGCATAGCCTAGGTAAATTCTCCTTTTTTACGCTTCGACGATTTTATACTCCAGTTCGAGTGATGTTTTCATTACCATGACTTGATCGATGCGTCTCATTCAACGTGTTGAAATAACAGAGAATCTTGGATCTCTCATCGAAACGCTACTTTTCCAGGAGCGATATTTCCAACAACCTAGTTCAAGATGTACAATACGTACGAGTGGAATTTATTACAATTAGTTTCGCAAAGATGTGCAATTGATTTCTTTTTACCGTGGTAGTAGTAACAGTTATTATCCCTCATAATATTATTATTCTCTCCAATAATAAGGAAATTTTTGTAAAATTTTTTAAGAGAAAAATTTTCTCAACGTATATAAGAGGGAAAACGCTCGCAAACGAGCAAAACTATATGAATAAGGAAGCGGCAATCACGAGTTATTAAAAGACACAGGACCCCAAAATTTCAAGTTTATCGATCAATATCGATTGATAGATAAACTTGAAGCTTTCTCAATGGTATCTTTTAAAAGCTCTTAAATTGACCGCTTACTTATTCATATAAGAAATATACGTGATATTTGCACAAAACTGGGGGAGAAATTTTCAGCATGCGATCAATATTTTCAAGCACTTTAAGTCCGATTAAGTCCCGATACGTGGAAATCAATATTCATGGAAAAAGATAAAGATAAGAAAACCACGGAAAAATTAATCCATGAAATTGGAATACTTAACAATTATTTTATTAAAGCTCTGTTGTAACTTCTTCTTACGTATGTTAAACTGCGATATTTTCGAAATTAATTTTCAACATTGAAATTCCATTCGCGACAAATCTTTTTAGATTTCTCCGAATTTTGTTGGTTTATCCAAGTTTAACAGATGCGTATAAATATCAGACACCGGCTTAACGCTAAATTTTCCAATTAATAGGGCTATTTCTGTATGATAATGGTCGCATGCGTATACAGAATTCTGTTGAAAGTTGGTAGAGTATCATTAATAATAGTGAGATTAGGGCATCCCAGAGCTGAGGTCGCGCAACGCTTTCGACGTGAATCTCTACGCCACGTAAAATAGATCGCGTAAAGAAAACATAAGTGAATTAGAAGAAGGTATGAACGTACCAACGCCATTAGACTGCGAGGTCGGGAGTTGCACGGCTACGCCGAAACCGCGCAGCTTCACCGGGGCGGAATTTTCCTTGCCAGCCAGGAGGGCGCACTGCGGCTTCAGGTCGCGATGAATTATGTCATTCTCATGGCAGTAACGCAACGCTTCGAGGATTTGTCGCATGTAGTGACTGTAAAAGAAAATGCAGTTTTCTTAGGTGCCGGCGCTCGCGCCACATCCTCCCCGCCGCGCACGTCACGAAAGTACGCCCTCAGCTGAGAACAATAACGAAGGCCGCACAAGCATTTGCGCGCGACGCTGAGAGCGAGTCCTTTCCGAGAATTTAAATAGAGCAATTAAGACACGCCTCGTTACTCATGTAATGATTTTACAGCGCAGATATTTAACAAAACCCATCCCAGCAGATAGGGAGCCACGTGTAATGAAAAATACAAATCGTATCTCCCCCTCCAAGTTTGTTTGTTATAAAAATTATAATAATAAACTATATTAATGATGTTGTTTAACGGTGTTCATAAGTTGCATTAAATAAAACAGCAGCGAGCGCAGTAGCCATTCATCACGTTACTTGAATTTAATTAATAAAATTAATGCATTTTAGAGTAATATTTTTCATGCACAGTCGTATGCAGTAGAAAACCCTTGCTAACTGACTCTTGACATTATCATGTATTTTTTACTAAGTACGCAAAAAAGAAATGCGGTCTAAAATAAAAACAAGATATCGATGGCACAGCGTACTGCCAGAAGATGATGCAAAATATGAAATACCGCCTAGACAAGAACGGCGCAGTTATTTACCGTACTGTGATCGTTGTACTTTCATCGTATCAATCAAAGACTTTGACATAATCTCTCAAGCGCGTGATGCAGCGATACATGCAGCGAATGCATAACGGTTGTGCATCTGATATGCGATATTAATGTAAAGTGTCGTTGATGCTGACGAATTGGAATAACAGGAAAGCGTGTTTCTCGTGACAGAAGGAAGTAAAGATTTGAAAAGGATTTATGTTCGATACTTCGAAGATGCGCGCGTGTGTATTCCAAGTATATTTAAATGTTAAACGTATATAGAGGAATGTATTTAGAGGAAAGTCCCCGACTTCTAATGTGAGATAGCAGGTTTTCAACGTTCAAATTCAATGACAAATCTTTTTTCTCAACGATTACACGATCGAACAATAAATTGTCCACTAAACAGATTTCGCTTCAACAGCAATAAATTCATGATGGAATCAATAAATTGAGTCTATTAATTTAACAGAAACCCTTCTATCTCATATTATTCTAGATATCTTAATTTTTTTTAGGAACAAGCGTTATTTTGCAACTTTTATCATTGAAATTAAATTAGTCGTATTTCAAGTTATTATCTATGAACCTGTGTAGTATATTCAAGGATACAAGACATATTTATGACGAGTTTTAATAGCATCTTTTCGAGGTGAAGACTACTGCTACTTCAAGCGTGACATGAACGGGTATAGCGAATCTAATGGATCGCAGTTAAGGATTTATCGAGACAGGGATTTATTACGCTCCGGGGAGACTTGAGAGTGAGGGAGAGAGGAGGACAGAGAGAGAGAAAGAGAGAGAGGAGAGAAAATCCGTTTGCATTATATCGAGAGGTATAACATACAGAAGGTAATCACGTTTCAGTACTCCCAAGTTTCGAGCGACTCGATGAGAACAATTAATTTATCAAATTTCTCTCGTCTTGATACGCGTCGCCTTAACAAGCTTAATAAATAGATTAAAGTAACTTTCATCGTGTGCGAGCACATACGTACAGTCTTATTCATTTATGCCTGGACCTGCATGTTTCTCATCTGTACAAATGACCGAGTTTCAGGCTGTATGTACATACTACCACAGACTTCTATAGAAGCTGTGTGAACCGCAGCCTGAAACTCATCGATGTACAGATGGGAATAAAGATTATGAAAATGTGAATCCTAGTAAAACTGAGGTCCAGGCATTAATGAATAAGACTGTACATAAAATAGAGATGTCACGCGAAAATTGTGTTATATCAACTATAATACTCGTACCTCTCCCCGATTAAGATATGAATTCTTTACGCATCTTAATTGTTTCAAGAGAATGTTAGGCAAATTTAATACAGCTAATATTGACTAGAGTTTCTAGAAAGTTTAAGAGAGAATAATGTGGAATGTTGTGTATTCACGCGGCATGATGCCGGCGCATCATGCTGCATCCGAGGTAAACGATGTCTCAGCTTCAACAGATAAAGTTTAAATGGATGTACTGTCTGCGGTGGATTCGCCATGTTCGCGCGATGTGCTCATTGCGCGATGATAGATATAATGAATTTTCTTACCTTGCAACTGCTTCGCTGTATACGAATCCAGCAGTCGCTCGTCTTACGACCTCGAAGCATAAATCAGAGCCGTCCATACTGAAAGAGAAACAGAAATATATTGAAACGGGAGTATCCGGTGATGCGGTAAATGGATCTGCTTTAATTTGAATATTTCTCCCGTACTGTAATTCTCTTGTTTCTTTCGGCTATGCATTGCTAATTTTTAAATTATCCATTAATAACTTTAAAATTATTGACGTCTATTTGCCAGCGTGTATCGATCGAAATGTGTGAACGTGACATCCGTAATACTCAGTTCACAGAAAATTATTGATTAAAACAATATATCATTAATTCGTAATGCTGTCATTGAATAAGAATTTCTTATGACAAAAAACATAATAGCCCATTAAACTAAAGGAAATAACAAAGGGTGATTGAGTGTCACACACACACATATTATTTAAATAGTCTCGTTAAAAACGCCTTGAGCACCGAGTCTATTAAAAACCGTAGCTATCTTATCCGATAGCGTAGATTATTTCGAGAGCACCTCGGATGTGTGTATCCAATTATAGCGAACTATAGTAGAACGTTATAATAGATAGCAAACAACTAAATGGAAAACGTGCTTTTCCCGCGTAAAGATAGAGCCGTTAAGGAAATGTCATGTATTTATTTTGCCGAGTCTTTCATTCTGACAAACGTGATACTTTTCCATCTCGTATATTATAACGTTTTATTAGCCTGAAGTAATAATTACGCCAGAAAGATAGGAGAGCAGACTGGCTGGCATATAAAGGACGAGATGACGCCTCTCGTTTCAAAAGTCGCTCTTCTAAAAAAAGACTCGTTGAAAGTTCACGAAAGAATATAACTATAGCAGTTTATGCTGCATTTCTTTATAGTCTTAATCTTACATATCCAAGTTTACCGTATCTATATTTAGCGCTAGACAAAATGAATAAACCAATGTTGGACATTGTACAGATCAATTAATGGAATCCGTTCGTTTTCATCAGTCGGTTTGTCAAATTGTATGTCGATGCGCTAAATAATGAAATATATTTATCGAGATCTAAAATATCTACGTTTGCTTTCGCATACTTACTATTCGAATACCATGTACAACATGCCCTCGGAGCTGTAGGTTTCCAACAGTTCTACAATATGTGGGTGTTTCAACATATGGCATATTGTAGCTTCCCGTTTCAAATCTAAAACATGCGAAATGTGGATTTAACGTAGCGAATGACTTCCACGCATAAAATATTGTACACGATGGGATTTAAAATCGCTGAAAAGTACATATCATTCCAATTACTTTAAATAAGTTTTACTTTACCAGATTAGTAATATGATATTTTGTACTTGTACAAAAATATTAAAAATTTTAAGATTAAAAAATTTGCAACGAGGAACGATGTTAAACATTTTCAAATAAATGAAAAGTATAAGTAAAAAGTACAATATCTCGCATATTGATACTATATAAAAAAACCATTAAAATGTATAATATAATTATGAGGCAAATCGAATTTATTTACAAAATGTATACGTGTGTGCATTGAGAATAACTAAGGTTTAAAATTTCAATATTGCATATCATCACCTAGCAGGAAATTAATAGTATTATGGGTATTATAAACATATGAAGTTATACAAATTTGTTACTGCAAACAATTATATTTGAAATATAATATCTGAAGAAAATGAATACTTTATATATCTGTGATATCAGAATAAACAATTTTAAGCTTATTTGAGCTAAACAAAACTAGAGATATTGTATCTGGATAGGATACAAAAACCAGTTTTACTGGAGTATATTTAGATACCGTATTTGCACTAACTGCAGTCAAAGCTACGAAAAACAAAACTACGAAAATTGACTGTGATAACGGAATAGCTCATATTTTTTAATTGTGTTAAAAATGATTGCAGTGAAATGCAAAAAACGAATTGTGATAGTTTTAAACAAAGATATTTAACGACATCACAATATTTACTGTTAACATATTTACGTCACTACTGATACGCAGCTTACAATATAATGTTTGATAATTTTTTAGCAAATTATATTTCTCTTTACAATTTCGCACGTTTCTATAAAAGTAAACATTCATTAATTTTTAATTATTGCCCATTGATTAATTTTTAATTAATTATTGCCCAATGATAACATTTTGATATTAAATACAAAGAACAGCAAAACTTATAGCTGCATCTTTTATTCATAAATTCTTCGATTAATTATGCCACAATATTAACTTTCACGACTTATCACAAAATTATACAAGCTGTTTTACAACTTTGTAATTCAACATCTTTACAATTAAATGCGAAATTAAAATCTCGTTAATAGAAATTTTACTTCAAGCTTGAACTTTACAAGAATACAATTTTGCTTTCTATTTGTAAATTTATACAGTAATGTCATGTAATTTTTAATGAGAAATAATGTTACATTGTTTAAGAAAATTAATTTTAGTAAAATACATATAACGTTAAATAATTGAAATATTTAATTACTTAATGTCTACTGTTTTCTTAATAAAAGAACGTATTGAAAATTGAGAGATAGTAACTTATGTAATGACACATTTTTATAAACATAAAAGATGAAGTAACGTCGGAAATGATAAGGAAGGAAATGATAAGGAAGAGAGAAGAAAAAATAAAGAGTAAACGAGAAAACTTGGTAATACTTTACGACGTCTAGCGAAATGAATGTCTTTACTTCATCTATATAGTTTCGCAAATAGGAAAGAGATATAATACTATGTTCGCATATGTTTCTGGGTATTTCCATGTGGGATTCCATATAATACCAAAGAGATTCCATATGGTACCTCGAATGAACATCTGTTTCGTTACTAATACGAGACATTTATGGGAGATGTGTTGGTATAGAAGCTATTTCCTCTTTTTCCTGACTTAGTAACCCTATAGAGAGTTTAGAGACTATATAAAGAGTATCGTTTCAAAGCTCAGTTTTCTCTATTCAACTATCGTCTATTTTCTAACGAGCTCTCGGTACGTTCACAACTGATTCACTAGTTTCGTGCTATTGACAAAAATTAAATATTAGTCTCATTTCCGGAAAAACGGCGCTTTATTAGAAAAAATCGGTTTTGAAACAATGCTCTCTCCTCGTATATTTCATCTGGACTTGTCGGCTGGTACGCCGGGTTAAATCCCCGAAAAATGTGCGCGGCGACAATAGTCCGCCTTTCCATTCAATTGCACAATGGCCTTCGCGCCGGTTCACGACTCGAACCCATGTTTAGTTGCGCAGCGTTGGGGAGACCGTACGTTGTCAGGTGGACGAATAGGGGAGGATAGGCCTTGTTTCGGACACACGGTGGAAATTAATGGGAGGATATTTACAAGGAACCGGTAGGTCTCTCCCTTATTTCAATGAACTTGTGGATGTAAAACAGTCCAAAGCATGAGAAATGTATTTTGCAACCCTTTATGTAACGAAGTATCGAAACAGTTAGTGCAAATTAAATCAATTTGTTCCTGTTGAATTTTACAAATTGTAAGCTTTATGAAAAAATGTTCTAAAGCGTATTAAAAATACACAAAAATACTTATTTGCTTCTCGAAAGCATCTGATCCGTTATTTTATGGTTTCGGAGATATTCGATTAAATATGTACAATCAAATTCAATTAATTATTTGATGTTTAAATGTATAAAAAAATATATCGCCTTCTATTGAACTGCTCAAACGTCAGGAATTTAAAAATCGAGATCAGAAAGTCCGATTATTTTCTTATGTCTTTGCAGTGTGTGTATCTACGTCATCTAATCTTTCGTATGTACTCACCCGCGGTGCTGAGCCCAGGACTAGAAGTAAACTTTGCGACATCGACGATTTTTACGGCGAAAATCTGCCCAGTGTGACGGTGAATGCATTTCCGAACGACGCTGAATGGCCCTCTGCAACAATGCGAGCAAGACGTTAACAGTAAAATTACACTCGCGACAGCTGCTCGAGTACGGATTACAAAACAATCAATAGTTGCCAAATTACGACTAGTAATAGGTATATCAGATGGAAAATTAATAAACTCAAGCAATTAGATAATATTCAACATCTGCACAGTGTACTTCAAGAGAGTAATAAATTTCATTCGAGAAAGTTTTCTACAGCTTTAATTTCTCATAATATTACGCGTAGTTAAAGATAACTTGATTTTTTAGAATAGTTTTAACTAAATTGTAATGAACGTCTTTCGTTTACAAAGTAAAATTGAAAAACCAATTAAAATTCTGACATGAAATTCGTATGTCATTAACAAACTTGAATGGATCGTTGAATTCTGAGGATATTGTGATAAAATGAAGTTCCGGTGTCAGAGGTTTAATATCTTGAGATTTCTTTGACATCACTTTATAGACCAAGGTTACGTCCTTCCGGTGACCTAACGCCATTTTTAAATGTCGCGTGCGCTGTAACTCTCCATTTTTCTTACGCATGCATATACTAATTTTGCATCCTCGCCATATATCTACATGTAAATTTTACAGGAGTTTTTACATTAAATATAAGAAGATCAAGAAAAGGAAAATGTCAATATAATCAATAAGGTCATAGTTCGTCGAAAACGTTGAAATTTTATCTACTTAGATTTAAAGAAAGCAAAACGTTTAGAGAGTAATTTTAACATGCGCAAATAATTGTGATTTCAGGAATGATATTTAATAAAGATATGCAAATTTTCTTTATTAAATTCGAAACATTTTATATTTTTAAATCCATTATACTTATTTTCCTTATAAAGATGAAGCATCGATATCATTATTTCCGACATACTTGTTTCTTAAAAGCAGCTACTGAGAAAAATAGCAAATACCACCGCTATCCTTGGATTCGCGTATCTACTGATTTTCATGGACTTTACCTACAAATAAATAAACATTGGGATAAACGTCTTGGAGACATCCCATATCTTTGTTTGTGAGAAACAAAAAGAACGAAATTCCTTACGTTTACAGCTAAAATATCTACGTTTATCTTTAAATCATATATACATACAGCAACACATCACACGCACGCACACATACACACACGGCCGGTTATTGATAGATTGAGTTTCTAGATATTGGTGTTATATACCGAGATGATATCGCGTAAAGAAGATAATCGGTGCGAGACAGGCGCCTATGCGTGTGCGTGCACAGGAGTAGGTCATGTGGTCGGACCTGTACTTAAGGGTTAAACTCGATAGCGGTCTCGGTTATCCATCGAATGATAACCACGCATGCATTCGTGGAATTCGTGAAAACCCACAGCGGAGAATGTCGTGCGTAGAGCGTTTCACGCAAGCATCTATCCCTGCGGCTCGCACAGTAATGGTGCATCGTACAACCATCAAACGTTATGGTTCCTTCGAATGCTCCAATAATGATACGACTCGTATAGAATCTTTATATCTAGCTTATACTCGCATAGTAATAATGCACGTTTCTTTTATTTCGAAATGCCGCGCTTTCCATTTACTTTATTGCCGAACGTTGTCTTTTACCTTACGTATTCTTGTTTCGCTATTCAAGAAACGACACTATTTTTATATTAATCGATCAATATAGACGGGCGGTTATTTTCAATAATCTACAATATTTAAAGACTAGTGATTTGCTCATAAAATGTAATTATAATTTTCTTCCATTTCATAGTTGTTTAAAATTTCAACGGCAAAATTTAGCGTATTAAAGGACAATTTTTATCTTGGAAAATTATTTCGTTATTATTGAATTTACGATTAAATTATTCATGTTAACTTTTCTATTAATATTATTACGTAAATATTTTAAATATTTCCCTCTCTGTATCTTATTTCTCGTAATAACGACTTGTAACATATAACAATGAATTTAATGAAGATATCATAAATACCAATAATGATTTAACGAATAATTGTAATGTTATTTCGTACCTGTAATTAATTACTGTGTCATTGAAATCATCCGTTTATATTCGATCGATAGCCTAAATGTATTATATTGAAACATTTATTATTCCTTTAAGCACATATGTAACACATTAATGCACATATAACGCTAGAACATAAAAAAAATTATAACAATAAATAAAAAGATTCTTTCCGATAACAATCATTTAAATCAAAAGGCCGTTGGAGTCAAATAAGACAGACACGTGCGCAATAAAGAATATATTTGAAATGAAAAATAAACTTGCAGAAAAATGCGAACGTTTCGAACACCTTCATCAGGTTCATCTTCAGCGCAATTAATATAACCATGAGAATAATAAAATAAATACAAGAAAAGATCATAGTCAGTAGTATAGTAATACATTAAAGATAAAAAATTATAAAATCTCGACATAAAATAATTAAAATTAAATAATTATGTTAGACTCAAATTATTATAACACACTTTTTACCGCGAGTGTAAAATAAAAATGTTAATTCGTCATATAAAAGTTTTATTTTGTGGCATTCATATATTTCTTCCACAAAAATTGTAGCGTGCATTTAAAAAGTACTTAATTTTATTATACCTTTCGATACGGTCTTAACGTAAATTGAAGAACGTAATGCAATCTTTTAAAAACTGTGTCTATGTAAATCCTCTGCCGTCACGTACACAGGCCGTCATCTCCGGTGTACTCGCGAACGAGTTACTAAATACATCATCCCCCGTTTTACGTTGTTAAAAGCTCTCTTGCAAGACGGCCCTTGAGTGCCTTAAGGCCTTCATAAAGCAATTCGCACGAAAGCGTAATCCGCCTTTTGTGAAAAGCTATTGACTTCTCGTGTCAGTTTCTAGAAGAGGTCAAACATCACCGCGACCTATATTCGGAATCAATTTTCCGCTTGGAAAAGAATACACACATGCAAGATTTCTTCCCTCCCTACTTCTTTATACACATTTATACGATTTATACATTTATATGGCTTTTCGTATTCTCAAACCATTCTTCTAACAACTTGTATAATAAAGTAACCGACGGATTGAATTGTCTATTGACAAGATTTCTCCGAAAACTTTATTAGCGCCTTAACTCAATATGTAGACGAATAAAATTGTATTTATAGAGCGTACGTGAGTACAGATTATTGGTGTACTGGTTCTCACCATCGTCAAACACAGCCCCATTTAACCTCCTGGCCATTGTAAATTAGACTTCGAATCTGTCGTAATTGAACTTTGCCTTCTGTCGTTAACAAGTTACGTTGGAGGGAGGATATTGCTAATACAAACGCTCAAGTTTCATGCAGAATTCTGCTTTCCAAAACGGTAATTACGACATCGGATCGCTGTACACTCAGGCTGTTTGAAATTTTAGTTAAATCCACTAGGATAGCATGCTGCTCACACCGAGGCCATAACTTAACTGAACATAACTTGTCATTGATTAGAACATGCTGCGTTCAAATTGCTGATTTATAGTCTAATATGATGCAGCGCTCGTTTCCAGCAAACAAACTGGCGTTATTTATCGTCATTTCGACGTTTCGACGTCAAAATGACGACAAGTAACGGCATCGTGTTTGCTGGGTTAACGCGAAGAAAATTGTTCGTGCGCGAATGAAAGATGCGCGACCGTTTCTGTAAAATAAAATATCAAGGATAAAAATGATATTTTTTGCATCAGGATTTTCCTCTACATTTTTTATATATATTTAGTTTGTTTCTAAAAATAATGTAAGATTTTTGTACGGTATTTATGAAATAGCGCGCGCTTTTATATTTCAAATTAATACAACAGAATGGTAATTTTGCCAAACTTTAGGCAAATAATTTCACGTCTGGAAGTTCATTCTGTAATCACACGTAACTATTTTTGCACTGTATCTTTTCCCTCGGATAAGTTGCGAGCATTAAAATATATATCTAAAGACTCGGTTACACGAATCGGAAGCTCTTCATACGGAATGTTCTTCGAGGAGTTTCAGATCCACCATAATTGGATGTCGGACACTTGTTTACACAAGGTGCATTCGATGCCAGACTACATCATCAAGATACGTCTGCCCGACATTAACATTCCATCTCTACCTCATTCGTTTCCGCGGTATTGGAGGCACGTAGACGTAATGGGTACGCCCGGCTGGAGAAAAGGGAGGGATGGGAAATTGAAACCGCTAAATGGGATTGTTAGTGAAAGTCAGGAATAAATAACAGCTCCAGCTGGCGCAGAGGCGTTCGGGATGTTCAGAAAGGGTCGTTTAACCTGCTGAAATACTCCCTTTTACGTCGACAACCTTCATCAGAGTATTTAGTCGCTTTTACTCCATATACAATTTCTCTGCAGTTACTCTTATCAACGCGTGCAGATCATATATGTTACGGCTAACCGAAACGCAGTATATAAATACGGCAGTTTCTCGTCTCCCTGGCTTTGTTAAACTTAAGCCGCGCCGATATTATAATGCATGCTCTCCTGTACATATTACCTTTATACGTCGCTTATTGCTCGGAGCTAGATTTTGTAATAATGAGACTTACGAGACAACGCCTGTGTTACTTACGAGAATATAATGCTGAATACCAAAACTTTCGAAAAAGTGAGTTTATAAAAATTTGTTAGAAATCGATTGATTTTTGTTTCCTCTACATTAAAGCGATTTATATTCCACAATTTATATGTGCTTCTTGTATATTGTATAATATAATTAACAGGATTTTTCAATTCCTTTTCCAATTTTCGGTCTAAACTTCATTATTTATGTGAGTTTAAATGTCTCTATGCATATCCCTCTGTTTTCTTTTTGTTATATTTCTATGCAATGACCACAATCACGCGTTCTACGCAATAAAAAACGGTAATCAGTATTTTCTATATATTTACATTCCAATTTTTAGAAAAACATTTTAGCAGATAAAACGCTTACAGATTGGTAACTATTTTAAATTTTAGTTGTTCAAAAATGTTTTTGGTTTAATATAAATCCTGATATTGCTGATATTATCAACAATGAGATAACACTGATGGTCAAGTAGTAGATTGCTTTTTGAGATAAATGTTTCTGTCCTTTTCTCTCGATTGCTGTAATTTAAATATCTCAAGAAACCAGATGTAAAAAAACAAGAAGACTGCACGATGCGCGCATTACCTGAATACATAAATAAATACTTCTTAAATAAACACAGATTTCTCGATTTTTCCGTGCGCAGCTGACCCGAAAAGTTACGGGTCAGACTTATCTGGCGTCCATATCTCAGGTAATGTCTTCGTCAAACTGAAGGCAAACATAATTTATAAGCGACGTTATCTTACGAGCTACCGATTGTCAAATCAACATCTTCGGAGAGATTATCTCTCTCGTGAGTGTATATCACGGGAATTCACCGTTAATCAACGAGTATAAAATAAACGAAAGAAAAGCGAGCGCGCTGTTGTTGACCGCGCGCAACCATTCAAGCTTAATCATGTTGGTGATTATTCCGCTTCTTGCGTGTTACATCACTTGGACAATCGCAAATCCGATTAACCCGGTATCCGGTAAACCAGCCGTTTGTTTCACGACGTTAAACGTTCGCGAAAGTCGTTTTACAGTTTCATGCTATTACGATAATGGTCCTCAGGTGCCGTCTGCACGATCTCCACGCAGTACAAAATCGGCGACCTTAAGGAGCCTCAGCCGTTGCTCCTGAAACGGGATGGCAAGCGTGCGACCATCTGGTATCCGGATAACGATAATGGACTATTGAGGATATTCGCGGGCGACTCCATTTATCTGGCATGCCCGGGCAAAGATAATCACCTCAAAAACAGAAGTTGGGGCAACGAGGTCAAAGCAGTTTGCATAGGAGGTAAGGTGTTTGACGTGAATGGCGTTCGTGAGAATTTCTCGTCCCTAGTTTGCAAATCTCACACCGAGCACCATGCTAAGTACACGGGCTCGCCACCTTGCCTCGACAGACACAGCCCAATCGAGATTGGTTTCAACGTGAGCGGCACCTTCATTCGCACTATTGAATTATGCCGCGACGAGAAGACATATAGGACGTACTACACCAAGTTCAAGATGACGAAAATGATCGGAAGTTATCAGAGGAGCTATCCCAGGTGTGAGGTCTCTTGATAATTGATAGATTCTCGATCCCGTCATCTTCTCTTTAGAGTTTTGGATGAAACAGTTGTTCAATATTAAATTTTGACAAGTTTTTCACGAATTCACTATTAATATCTATATTTATCGATATATTAATACTTTGATAATCAAATAAATCATGCATTTAATGTAGAACATTACGATATATAGTTTTTTTAAATATTATCTTTAAGTGTAGTTTTTAAATACGAGTACTCGTACAGTCGTCGATGGAAAGGGCGTTTGCACACACAGCTCTCGATTGCATGTTCTAGACCACTCAGGTTCCTAGCAGGAAGGTTTTATCCCGGGATAGATATAGACCATCTGTACAGATTCGAGACCCAGCTAGATACGCTCGCCGTAATCCTGAATTCGACCAAGTTGGCTGGAGAACGCTTGAAGAAGTCGTCGCAGTTTCTCTCCCGCGGACATATGGCGGCAAAAGCGGACTTCGTCTACGGCGCCCAGCAAAGGTCAACCTTTTGGTACTTGAATACCGCGCCTCAGTGGCAGACCTTTAACGCTGGTAATTGGAATTCCCTGGAGGCCAGCGTCAGACGTTTTGCCGCCAACCGTCGTTTGGACCTCGACGTTTACACGGGGGTGCACGGTCAGATGACCATGGCGGACATTCATGGCAAGCAGCAACCCGTACATCTGCACGCCGAGAGCGCAGTCATGTCCGTGCCCAGGTTCTATTGGAAAGTCATCTACGATCCGTTGAGCAAGCGGGGTACAGCGTTCGTTGGTCTCAATGATCCGTTCATCAGATTGGTCACAGACGACGTATATCTCTGCGCCGATATCAGCGAGAGGATCAAGTGGCTAGAGTGGAGGCCGCGCAATATCATATCCGGCATCTCTTACGCCTGCAGCGTCGCTGATCTGCGAAAGGCGGTGCCCGCTGTGCCGCAAATCGAAGTGATTGGTATTCTAGTGTGACGCGAGCGAATCACTTTGGTCTCGTCGTCGTACGTAATGCGCGTTGCAAGAAACTACCGATAACCGCTGATTTATATCAGCTCTCATAATTCTATTTTATATATTTATACTTCGAATCACCTAATTACGTATGAACCCGATAAAAAATAATATAAAGGAAGAAAAGAAGTAAGAAGCTGCTAATAAAAATAGTCAGATCGCGATATTATATCATGCACAGTGTAGAATGATATCTAGTGCAAGTCTAACCGGCACATCTCTATAAGTCAAAGTGTAACGATACTTCACTGAACATACTAAGCAGATACTTTATCTTCGATACCCGAGCGAGGTGTCGATAACAGGAAGGCAACATCTATGCGTTCGTAACGGTGAATATAGACGTTAGCAACTTATTGAATAATATACTTTCGAAAATGCACCAACATTCGTATAATGTACATTAATCATGTATCTACCAAATTTATTTGTCATTGCAACAATATTTTTCATTCATCGCAAAATGGACATATCAAAAAGTACTAAGCAATATTGATATCTACGTAATTTGGTACGATTGAAGAGCTGCATTAATATCCAATATTAATTTAGTTTAATAGAAAATTAGGCAGAGAGAGAGAGAGAGAGAGAGAGAGAGAATTTGCACAAAATAAACCATACTGGAGCGCGGTGACCTATATATTAGTTGGCCAAATGTCAAAATACACCAGTGTAATAGTTTGAAAACAAATGAATTATTACGATGTCATGCAGATAAAAAGCAACGCGAGAATAACTTTTTACATCGAGATAAATTATTCTAGAAAACTATTATCAGACTTTAAGCCAAGAATTAGTCATGTGTGTCGACATGTCACACAGTATCGGGTATTGAGAAATTATGTGTAAATTCCGGACAAGCTGGCTTTATCTTCGGGACATAAAATAAAATTTATTTCGAAAAGATAAAAATTTAAAGCGATTATCTACGACTTTGCACCGAGACTTGTCCCTCGCAGAAAAAATATTGCGTGCTTTTGCAGATAAAGCAACATGAACAGTGTGCATGGTTGAATAAGGGGAACAGCTTTTTCCTCGGTTTTTTTCTCCAAATATCAGAATTTTATTGAAATATTATGTTATTGCAGAAAATATGTGTGGAATTTACTGCATACCATCGAAAATATTTGTAGATTGTCTCATATTTTATATATTTATTTATATTTCATAATTTTTATTTTATATTTTGCCTTCTATATCTTGCATATGTCTATATATAAATACATATATGTATATTACTAAAGCTGCTAGTTTATTAATAATCACAGATTGTTCTGTCTCATATTATATGTTTTTACGGTCAATAAATATTGTATTAAATAAATAATCGTCGTCTTTGACTGTTATATTATATTATAACTCAAAGAGTTGCGATAATAAAACTGACAAACCCTAATTTAAATGTCCAATATTTTTACAACAGAGAGAAGAATGCAATGTACTTTTTGAAATAAAAAGAATATTCAATTTGGGATACGCCAAACGACCCATTTGTATTCCGATAAATTCTATTGTACATTAAAGTAGAACACAATATTTCATCGCTAAATAAAAGCAAACATTTAAAATATCAAATATAATAAAAAAGTAAAACACCAAATACGCAGTAAATAAATTAATATACAATAAGTTTTCATATAGTTGAAATTCCTATAAAAGATTACCGTATTCGTCAATGTATTTTTAAAAACATGTACCGCATAAGATTTACTGCAGATTTAGAACATCTATTTCCACCTTCATCAACTGCAAGATTGAAGTTTGTCGTATATTATTATTATTTAATTTCCACAAAACACTTGTTTGAACGGGTATCAAATTATAATATTAATTTGTGATTTGTTAAATAGCGATTTGTGAATGGTAAACAGAACAGTAACCGTAATACAATTCCGCTAGTTGAAAAAGAAATGTCATAAAAATTCCATTTGCGTAATTAAGCTCAAGGGCAAAAATTCACGGGTAAGAATTTACCCTGCCTTTTGAAGAACACACATAGGGCCATCCGTGTGGGAGTTTGTGAGACAAATAAAAAGTAGGGCGTGAATCGTAAAAGCAGAACACGCCGCCTCGTGTCTTGCCTTATACATGCCCGCATCGAGATTTAAAACCGTCGAAGCATTCTGAGGATTTCTCGGTGCTTTCGCTCTCCAGTGAGACGATAGAGCACCGAGGTAAAAGCGTCGAGGGCTTCTGTTCAATAACTCCGTTTTTTCCACAACAGCTCTCAATACAATTGATCTTTATTTATTAACTGGTAGCATCTATAAACAAATGTGTAACTTTAATAATAATTTTATCGTGTATGTCTCTATCTCCATTATATAATTATCCGCGCGCATTTTTCAATATCTTTCCTGTTTTAGTAATATATTATTCATACAATTCACGTAATTTAGAAATTGAATTGCAAAGCTCATAGAGCGGCTGCTATACAAAGAATAATTAAATATTGTGCACGCAGTCTTTCACGGAGCCGTCGTGTCCGGCGAAAAAGTTAAGGCATACTAAATAATTATTTAGCTGATTGGAAACTCAATTATAAAAGTTACAAAGTCGGGAACTGCCAGAGAAAGTTCGACAGCTGCGAAATAAAATGTAATATATACAAGCAAAAAGCGCTGTTGTCGTTGCGTTCGTATTACTTCGTAATATCTTAAATACGGGGCAAAACCCTTGTATTATAGAAGTCGATAGAAAGGGAGGACTTGAAAAGAACCGTTTGTGCGAATTATAGCTTACGGCATTTAAGTTCAATCGACGCAGAAAAGAGCGGCGGCTGTGCGAATTCAATTAACTGTAACGAACGAAGAATGCGCCACTTCTTGATAACCTCATCCTGAATTTAATTGACGGGATCCACATGTAGGCATATGTATGTAGGATGATCTCTTCAAACTGTCCCCGTTGAAATGTTTCTGCACCAATTGTTACGCGACAAAGCGTTTCTACTTAATTACACAGTTGAAAATAGCAAGAAATTGATGTTATTTGTAGTTGAATAATTTCCAACTCGCTCGTCGACAAAAACAATTCGTTCTCGTACATTTAGCTGTTTACGAACCTCAGTAACTTAAGAAAAAAAATAGATATTTTTCTGGACAATATTAAACAATTAGATGTTCATTATAATTTCCATTGATCGATCGATTTGTAAACGTAAATTAATTTGGCATCTTTAACGTGCATAATGGAGATGGAATGTGATATTGCTGTCAGTTCATCATGATTTCGAGTTTGGATGAAATAATATTACTTGGTCAAATTGCGTGATTGAGTGCGTTTTAATAAACAGCTTTTAGCCAAAATATTACGAATAGTGTGTGTCGAGTCGCAGGAATGTACGAATAACATTTATTGTTTATCACAAATTCGAAGGAATAAAATTTATTGTTTAATTCACGAGAAAGTCTATTACTGTATTAGCGAAGAAACTAAGGAAGTATTGCATTCAATTTATCATATAAATTCGACATGATACATTCTACATTATATTATCTCTCTTACTGATAAAAGCACTAAAACGTATGGCAAAGATATTTGAATTCTGACTAAATATACATATAGATATGTATACTAGGAATCACTGATGCCTTCCCATATGACGTATTAACACATTTATACATTTTGCTTATACACACGAAAAAAATGCTGTTAAATTAAAAAAATTAAGTTGCTTTAATTAAACGTCAACGTCACGGACTGCCACGAACGTACATCATTCATTGAGCTAAATATCCAAATTATTAAGACAACTATCTGATGTTTTTTTATTCATTAATACTGATGTTATTTCAATGATTTTATTTTAATTACGCTATTCTTGTTGATACATCATTTTTTTCCGTACCTTCTACCTATGCCTGAATTCATATGAGAGGCATCAGTGATTCCCAGTGTACATTTAAACAATTTTTTATCATTTTTTAAAATTGTATTTTAATCGCGCACATACAAATGTTTTTCTTTCAAGAGAGAATGATATAATATTTTATGTCATCCTCTTTCAAACGTTGAATAATTTATAAGTCTAATTTCAAGGTGTGTTAACTGTTAGTTTATGTGTATGCTACTCCAATTTAGAATGCGTCCGATGTTCATAACCCCGTGTCAATTTTGGAAAACGATGACATGTTACATGAAAGAAAAAGGAATCTGAATAAAAAAAACAAAGAATACAAAAAATAATTCTGGTGTATCGCATATAGCACGACAATTGCGAGCTATAAATAGTTTAGATAGGCAGAGAATAAATCTGAGTCATAAGTCGATGATCGTCGAATGGCCTACGCCTTTGTGACGGATATTTTAGTCGCAGCTGGTGGCGTATATTATTTTGGCATGAAGGTTAGCCAATTGAATGATAAATCAAGTATTGGCTTCCGATACAAACGAAATTGCGTTTCTGTGACAGCAATCTCTGCTCTTCAAGCTATAGTCTTCCAGCAGATTAAATAAACCGTTCGTTTCGGCGAAATCGATCGTTTCTGGCATAACAGCATGAGAAGCGCTAGGGGATTCGACTAAATCTTCGTGCACGTTTCCCGTCAATAAGAAATACATCTTCGCGCATCAGTCATTTAATAGTTACCTTGTATTTGTAGAAAAAAAATTTCTGTTCGACGCGAATAGAGGAAAGTCCTCCATTATGACAATGGGTTTTTAACATCCAATTTCACAAATCTTTTTTCGGAACGATTACACCCATAATCTAACAATACATTTTTCACTAAACAAATTTCACTCCAAGGGCAATAAATTCATGGCGGAATCAACAGATGATGCCTATTAATTTAGCAGAAACTCATATGTCATATTAAGAGACTATCTCATAACAGACGACTCTTTATTTATCGGCTAAAATAACAGATAATTGATTTATATTCGGTTCATAAATGTCCAAGAAAATGTTCTTGAATAAATAAAAATTTCTCTGTAAAATTGTAATATACTTTTCTTTGTATCAATCCAGACATAACTTTTTTGTGAATTTTTTTAAAATAAATTATTCGATCTAACAGCCAAATGGCATTCACATGCAGAAATTTGGGTGTTCAATATCAAATTTAATTTCAGTATTCGACAACACAGTGCCTTCTTCAGCATATAAAATTACAGTAAAAAATATCGAATATAGATACGCAGTTTTTTCAAGACATATGGATGAAGTATTACGTTGTAAAATACAGATTCACTCATTTCGAATTTCGATTAGTATGTGTCGTTAATTTAATTTGAAATATTTCTTGGCGTGTTTCAAACAGCAACTATTACATGAAAGTAATAGAAAAGAATGTTTAGATAATGAAAAAAATAGAATTCAATTTAAGGAAAGTTAATGATTCAATGCGTGACTTACTTAGATCAAGTCAAGAATTCAGACACGTCGAGAGAAATTCGAAGTTCAGATGGTCGAAAATGTTCGGAATCACTTTTTTAATGTTACATCCTTGGTTGTTTGTTCTCGACCGAGTCAATTTCGCTATGTCAAGTAATTATAACAACCCAAAAGATAAATTTGTCTGTTTCTAAATTGTTTTCCTAAAGAAACGTTCTTTTTAAGATAGATTCCTGAGTAGCAACGATACACATTACAATTGACGATGCAATATCTATCATATATATTATTTAGGCTCATTATTATTTTATATTTTGTATTTATGATATTTAATACACGCGCTCTACTCTTACTGCCTCGTTCTTTATTTTTGTTTTATATATCTTTAGAGTCTTCTCTTTACTTATCATATATTAATTTCGAAAAGAATCAAGATTTCTTCAAGACCCCTTGGTTCGATTTTCAAATAATTTTTATCTCGGGCTCTTTACTGGTTTTTATCTCTCGATTATCTACTTACTCCTGTGCCGCTTGCGTGAAAAGGCACGTGTTATCACCATTCCGCGTGTTTTGTCAGAGTTGAGCAGTAATCTTGCCATCTCAGCAAATTGGGAAAATCTAACTCGAACATGTAAAAGTCCAGATAAATGATTTATCGACAGATAGGCCAGACAAATGGGCTGTTAGCAATATGTCAAGTAAACCATTTATCTCGAGAGAGAGAGAGATGTATAACACAAACCGTCAAAACCTCAATTGAAAGGGGCATCTGTATTGTACCAATTTAGGAAACATCTGCTTCTTCTTGCTCCGGAATTAAGAAATTTCTTCCGTAAACGACGCGGCTCAACCTTTCTCCAAGGTTCGCCGTCTGGATAAGGAGCATAACTGCATTATTCCGCTGTTACTCGACGAAATATTCCCAGGTGTGTATCGATTGACTCGCGACAAATCACGAGCAGAGCGTACGAATTCATTTGGCGCGGGAGCGAGCGCGCGCGCGCGGGGGGGGGGGGGGGACGCGATACAATTTCATTCGCCTCGTAAGCATGCGTGACAGGTTGCGTTACTGGAATTCGACGAAGGTGGAAACTCTCTCTCGGAGGTATACGAGGGGACTCGCACGCGCGACGAGTCGGGGCTCTCGTCGATCCGCTACCCCACGCGTTGTTGCGCGTCGTCACTCACTCGTCCCCGCGTGTCACGTCGCACGGCAGCGTACGAGCTCGTCGCGCGCGTACACGGGCATCATTTTTCCCTTGCTCGGCGGGTCCGCGTGCGCGCAGACGCGCAGACAAGGTACGCGTGCACACACAGACGCACGCAAGCAGCACGCTCTCAGGGTACCTCCGCCCACTGCCGTTCATCCAATCGCATCCAGCGCTTTCTCTCTCTCGCGCAGCACCTCCTTACACCCTTAACTCGCAGATCTTGCGACACACACGCTCTCTCTCTCTCTCTCGCTTTCTCGCTCTCTCGCCCACCCCGGGACTCTCGTTACTCACTTGCCGATAATCTCGCAGAGCTCGTAAACATCGTCGAAGAGAACCTCGTCGTCCGCCATCGTGACGACGAGGAGGAAGAGGAGGAGGTCGAAGGAGTCGACCGAGCTAGGAGCCCGCACGCGTCAGGAGACGCGCCGCGGTTACGTGAATGCGTGGCAATTCGGAGCGCGTGCAAACGCGCGCCTTTTTCTGTCGCTCCGGTCGTAATTCCCTGACCGACGTCGTTGTCGCCGCCAGTGCCGCCGTCGCCGTCGCCGTCGTCGTCCTCGTCCTCGTCCTCGTCGTCGTCGTCGTTGTCGTCGTCGTCGTTGTATCCGTGCGGTGCGGAGCACACGCGGCGTGAACGCAGCCACGTATCTTGGATTCACGGCCGCATCGCCGTCGCGCCCGCCCGTCCCTCTCCCTCGCACGTTCACCGCCGGCCCGTCGCCTCTCTTCTCGCCTTTACGCACACGTCACGCACATATGCACGCACGCACGCACGCACCGTACTGCACACAGTGTCGCGGATAACGCAGCCGTGCCGTCGGCACGCCACCGACCGCCGTCGCACTGACACTCCGTCGGCGGACACGAGCCTACACTGTACCACTGCGGGGTGCGATCGTGACTCGGTACGTGTGTGTGGCGCAGCTCTCTGCGCGGAGCGATACAATATCGGGGGCGAGCACCGCCGACACCGCCTTGTCGCCTCTCGAGGCGCGCCTCGCTCGTTCGCTCTTTCTCTCTCTCGCCTCGCCTCGCTTCGCCTCGCCTCGCCTCGCCGGCAGAGTCAGCGCGCACGGGAAAACGACGATGTCGCGCGCCAGGCTCGTACGTAGGCCCCTTCGCGACCTGCCTCAAGAGCGCGCCGATCGGCTGCCAACAATCGTCCGTATCGAGTGTACGCGCGAGCGCGCGCGCGCGCGCCCGGGATTCCCTCGGCGTGTGAGAGCCGCGCGGGCAACACGCACGTAACGCGCCGACACGCGGGCGGAAAGAAAGACGGTGGACGATAACGGATGGGCACTGCGGCGCGTTATCCCGTCTGCCGAGGGCCGGGGGCCAGCGGATTCGCTCGCTCCGAAGCAAGACTGGTTGCATAAAACGCGGCGGGCGGCTGCGCCGACCGCCAGTCGTTCTCCTCCGACGGCGACCCTCTCCATCCCCTCCGCGCGACCGAGCCAGCCATGGAGGGGCGGGCGTGGCGCTCTGCCTCTCTTTTACTCGCAACCTTCCGCGCTTTAACGCGGCCCTTTAATTCCCCCGTCGCTCGCTCGCTCGCTCCGCGCGACACGCTTATCACGCGCCGAGCCGGTAGGGATTCTCCCGCCGCCGAGCCCTCGGCGATCCGCGTACGTGTCACCGGCGTACGTTATCGGCTCTTCGAGAGAGCGCGTTTTTTACCGGCCGTTCTACTCGCACGAGGTACCTTTATCATCGTATTCGTGGAAATAATCTCTCTTTCGTAGCGCAACTAACATTATGTCATTTTTGTAGTTTAATTTGTTTCGGTGAACGTAATTTTCGCGTGTTTCTCTCGATGACGTTTCTCTCTCTCTGTCCGAGTATCAGCTACCGATGTAGAAGAGTGTGATAACAAACGGGATATGTAAATTATCATGTATATCGATAGCACGTTCAATTTTAACTTAACTAGAAGCAAGTCGTTTTTAGAGCGCGCGCACACACGCCCCTCATTCAGCTGTTGAGAAAATGGTACAGATAAACATTGATAGTTTGAAATCGATTGACTTAGGAACTAATGGAAATTGAAATACCGTTTGTCGCTATCGTAAACGCGACAGTCCTTCGAAGATGTCCTCGACCTCTTCCCTTCGTCCGAATACCGATAGTACCAACATTATACGACTGTGATGCCATCGATGATAAATGGCGTGCTTACCGAGGGCGACAAACTTAGCTTCATTCTCGAGATATTTTAAATGTTTGTGATTGTATCCTTGTAAAACGATTATATTTTCCCTGCAAGTGTAATTTAAGAACATATAACATCATATTTGAATCCATATATGTGTTAGAAAGTCACACACCTCAAATTCGAAACTATATTATAAAAAATTGATATTTATGATAAAACGAGAGTAATGAGAAAACAGCAACCTAATTGGTATTCATTACCCGGAAATCTGCCATTGGCTAACAAAAGGATTCTTTGCCCGATCAGCTACTAAAATGTTATAGAGTGCAAGTATACTACGTGCTATCTGTAAAAAAAATAACATGCATATTACAACTTGATTAATTGCTCATTTTAAATTATCAAGCGATTTTAAAACATATACATTGTACATATGTATACAATAATTAGTTAAATTTATTATATTCGTATTTAATATTAATGAATTAAAATATGTTTCAATATAACTATTTTAATTCTTACCACACTTGTTGCTTCTCCTAATTCCATAGCAACATCAGTATTGAGTATTGAATAAAAGACATATTCGTCGAGTCCGACTTGTTTTCTAGCAAATTTATATGTTCTATTTCTTTTATTATAGATAATTTCCCATTCACAATTTAATTCCAATAATTTTCTAAAATCAATCATTTCGTTTAACAAAAATAATATTAATGATGCATCTGATTGTTTGCAATTGGTTCGAATTTTGTATTACGCCGTTACGTAATTTCGATAACAATATAAATGTGCATATTATTAATTTTTTAAAAGAAGTCAATATAAATAACATATCTAAATATTTACAAAGTATAACCTTATATCAAATTACCTTTTCATTGCTTTGATTGGAGTATCGAGTTAATTTTTTTAATACCTTGCTATTCTTATTCTGATTTTTCATTGTACAAATTATGTAAACTTTTCTGCGTGTTAAATGCAAATAAATTTGTTGTGTATTTTTACTTAAAGTTATTTATATGAAGAAACGTGTAATACATATTATTTTAATTATTGTATTAACAGTAATAAATCTCTCTTTTTATGTATTGTTTCTTTTGGGTATTGTGAACACTGTATCTAAAAACTATTTTAATATGTATAATATTTTACCGTGTTTTAAAATAGTTTTGCACAATTGCGAGCTCACTCTAACCTAATTATATGTAAACCGAGGGGGAAACCGCTGAGGGCATTGTGGTGTACAGATTTGCGGCATTACCGGGCATTACTAGGGCATTTTTGGGGCATTACGTCTTGCTGAGGCATTATAAAGATAAAATAAGATACAATAAGATAAAATAAGATAAAACAAGATAAATAAGATAAAAGAAGATAATAAGATAAACTAATGCCCACTGGGCATTAGTGGGCATTGGTGTACAAGATTTTGGTCAGCGGTTTCCCCCTCGATGTAAACTTATAACTGACAAATTACTAATGTGACATTGTGTTGCGTTAATTTTTTAGTATTTTTAACTAACACAATTTTTTGTATATTTTGAAGGGGTGTAAGAGGACAGGAGACTTTTTCATCAATTGCAGTCAACTTTATCATTCATTTGCAAGTTACACTATACATATTAGGTTATACAGAAATTTAGAGAAGAGATATCTTACTCAGTTGTGTTTCGGTACATTGACATTTTATAATATTATTACCATTATTAATATTAGATGAGAAAACTTACAGTTGCCTTCAGATGATACATGAATTATATCGTAAATTTTGCTCCTTTAACTAATTTTCGTAAATTAAAAATTTGTTTATGACAATAGATGACAACCTGTCTATATAAAAAGTTTGCTACACAAAGAGGAACCTGAGAGCTGTCACGGCCCGGTTTTACGTGATTCTCGAACGCGATACGCCCTCTGTGAACATCGGAAACGTGGACATGAACTACGGTAGCCAATGTCCACGTTCGGACTATGCGGATAACGCATATGTGCACGTTTTGGTTGTGTTCCGTACTATGTGCATTCAATGTCTATAAAAACAGAGTTATTGATTTTTCGTTATGTGAGCGAACAGGCCAACTTGTAGAGGCCCTCCAGCACCCTCACCGAATTTTTCTCGGTGGTCTCCTTTACTTTGCAATAATTGTTTTTATATTTTTAACATTTCTTATTTTAAACATACAATAATACATAACTCTTACGATGTAAAACATTAACAAAAAAAAATGTTACACAAAAGCTACACACGAAGCCGTGGCTATTGTGTAACATTTTCTATTAATGCACAAATGAAAAATCAAATTGTAAAAATGAATCTATAAACAAAGTAACGTATAGTAAATAAAGTATCAATATACACTGCTAATTAGTGATGAAAGACTATTCGCTAGAAAATTATTTAAACATTTGCATTTGTACAAGATTGCTCCGTTTACCTCGGATAATTACGATCGCATTCTCATAAAAATAAACTTTGCATTTTTTTATAAATAAAATGCCTCTTTTTAGATTTACTGATAAAATTCAAATGACAATTGTTTTCTGAAACTTGTAGATTATCTAATTCCTTGAAAAGGACCACAACCCGTATAGTCGAAACGTCGGAAACAAACAAATAAACCAGCTACCAGCCTAAAGTCGTGTAACAATTCTTTTTACTGCTGCCCTAAAAACAAACTAACCTTGTAGAGACCCTCCCACCATTCCCGCCGATTCCAGTCGGAAGATTAATTCACAATCTCGATCTTGGGATAAAATCAATTTTTTCAGAATTTATCAATAATGCCTCCTAAACTAATGATCCGAGGTAACGGTTCGCCGAATATTAGATTTTTGAACGATGGTCGAAAATTTCTAAGTCCGGAGGTCGAAAAATTTTTCAGAGTTCCGAGTAGTTCTGATTAGAGTTCTAGGCAGTTCTCGACGAGTTCTAACAAAAAGTCTTATGGCGCAAAACGATCGGACCAACGGTTTGCAGAATATCAGATATTTGAACGATGGTCGAAAAATTTTTCAGAGTTCCGAGTAGTTCTGAGTGGAGTTCTAGGCAGTTCTCGACGAGTTCTAACAAAAAGTCTTATGGCGCACCGCGCTTAAGCGACTCAATTCAGAGATACGCGTCATTTTTTAACCCTTATTAACCTGGACCCCCCACCAGCGCAAATCAAGTTCGCACTAGGTCAAAAATTTAGTGCTATTTAGGTGCTATTTTAGTGCCGCAGTCCGAATTTTAGTGCTCAAACCGTTTAGCAGGAAATTACGTAAAAAATGGGGGGGTCCAGCTTGCCATTAAGCTGCAACCCCCCATACCCCAAAAAATAGATGGAGTGACCCTACATACAAAATTAATACACCAGAATTAAGTGCTAATTAGGTGCTTTACGATAACCACAAATAAACCTGCAATATTTAACAAATAGCCTTAGAAAATAAATAATTTGTCAGGAGAGCGCGCGCGCCGCGTGGTAAAGTCCGTTACAAAGATATAAAGGAATTAGGTGCTCGAATGAATT